AAAAAAAAACAACAAAAAGACAAACAAATAATGAGTCCTCTGATAGACACTACATTCACTGTATACTCATATGCATAGTGCACTTTGTTTTCAGGCATCAAAGAACCAGCATTTGGTATGTTTGTGATAGTTACAAGTCTAGGCTTGAGAATTACTCTAGGCATAGCAATGAAATTGCTGGTAATGCACTTATCATTTGCTTCCCCGTGGGTCGACCCCCGGGGCACCCATGGGAACCAAGGGGGAATGGTAGAAATTTTTTCCCCGCGGGGGGTCGTTCTTTAGCTTTGGGAATGGATTGGCTGGAACAAAGGGACATACCCACAGGATTTTTTTCGACATTTAGTCAGCAGTTTTTCGCACTAGACTATGGTTTTTTCGCACAATTTTGTGTCATTAAATTCCTGAGCTAGTAGAGAGGTAAGATAAAATCAGATTCGTCTTTTCTTCTTTTCTTCTCAATAATGCTATTATTTAAAGCATGGGATGTGTCGAGACTTAAGGGAAAGTCTTAAATGACAGACGATTTTGATGAATGAAAATATATGTGACCATAAGTAATTTGAGATGTTGCATAACATAAATTTCTATACTATATGTTCCTTTCTTTAGCTTCTAACCAGATCAACAGTAACTGTTAACTCTATCTAATAGATGTTTTTGAAACGGTGAAGAGTGCCTGTATGTCTATAAGTTTAAAAGTAGATTATCACTTATCCTTTTATTGTAACTAGTCGTTCATAACGCATCCTTACCAAATCAAACATAAACTCCTTATTTGCTGTTCATCAAAGATGTCCAATGATTTAATATTCAAAGAATTCAGGTTTAACCCAATTTTTACCATTTAAATGCCAGCTATAATTATAGTTAAATAAAATAAATACGATTTTTGGTGTATATTTCGGCCCCCAGGGAAGGGCTATTCGTAATTAAGTTACAATGCCCTATAGGCTGCGTTCATTATGTATACCACAGGGGGGGAAGGGTGGGGGCAGAGGAAATTTCAAAAATACTCGAAAATTTCAAGACCCCCCCACTTAATGTCAAACAAAATTGTACCCCCCTCCTTTAGCAGGAAAATTTGTACCCCCCCCCACCTATATACCTAAATACAAACACTTCTTTGTCCTGATACCTACACATGCCTATGCTTGCAAGCCATTGCGATGACTGGTAACTAGAGCTTGCAATAGACTAGAGCTGTCTTCCTGATCGCGACACATACTGAACTGGAAGAGGAATATTGGTTTCCATTTCCTCGCTGCTACTAGAGCCACTACCTCATCGTCGTCTTCACTATCATCGTCATTTTCACAATCACAATCATTTTTGTCTTCATCTTTGTCATCATAGTCATAATCATATACTTCAGAATCAATATCAGCATCCTAGACAATGATCTCAAGCAAAGACGCCAAAGGCTGGTTAATGCTAACAACATCCTGGTGCAAAGAGTGGATGTGAGGAGGAGCACCAGTACATAACTTCCTGTATCAGAAAGCTACAGGAACAATTGACGAGCCTCCACACAATACATAATTATTTAACCAATTCCCATCGCACACTATCTCGATCTAGACTGAGTATATCTTTAAGCTCGAATGAAAACACTGCCTTAAAGCGTAGAAAGAAAGAAAACAACAGAAAGGCCAAAAGGCAGTCACAGAAAAGGTTGGAAAACAAGGCAATCTGAGAAATATTTGAAAGTGTAATCAAAGATGAAGACAAGAGAAAAAAATTGATTACCCACATTTCCAGTAGAGAGATAGTACTTGTTCCAGGTCAACTTCAGATGTCCTTAAAAGAAGATATCAATATGCAAGCATTGCAACTCCTCAAGCCCAAATTTCATTTGAAAGCACTTACAGCTGTAAACATCTCAGTTATTTGGAGATGTTTTGTGATGAAGCTCTCCAACATGTTGAGTTTGTAATACATGGACTTGAAGGGAAGTCTAATCCCACTATTGATGATGACAATAATGATGATGATGATGATAATGATGATGACAATAGTGATAAAATCGAAGATGATGATGATGATCAAGATTACAATGTTATTCAAATACTGGTGTACAATTATCCTGTTCATTAAATTTCTTGTTGAGTTTTATATGTTAGTTAATAGTCATATTTTGTTGTTGACAGAAAAAATAGCATCCCCCCTACTGTTACAAAAATAATTTAACATCCCCCCTTTAACACCTGAAAAATTTTATGGTCCCCCCCAAATTTCCTCTGCCCCCCCTGCAGTATGCATAATGAACGCAGACTTACCCAGGGGCTTTGAATGGTTTTTGTTTGTCACGAAAAACAATTCCCTGGGGGTGCCCCGGGGGTCGACCCAAGGGGAAGCAAACGATAAGTGCATTTATGTTACTTCACTTTGCAATAATTGCTAAATTATACAGCTATATGGTATATTTCTGATTGGCAATATGTCTGTCATGGCATATAATTCAGTCCCTTTGTCCTCTGCAGGGCTGTCAACTCTCCCGGATAAGCTGGGAGTCTCCAGATTTTGTACCGTATCTCCCGGTCTCCAGATTAGAGTCTCAAATCTCCCAGATAATCCCCGAAGCTGACCATTTCTTGCGAGACTCAACTTTCACAACCATAAAATTCCAATTATTCTAGGTTGTTTGTGTTATTTTAAATCGCTAACAAAATCAAAATGTTCCTCATAAACTGTTCTTGCAAGCAGGCCATTGTAATATAAGCGACAATCTGATTGGTCAGAAACAAACCAATCACATCAAATGTTACAAAGCGAAAGACGTCTTTTCGCGTGCTTTTTGACGTGCTGTAACGTCAATTGTCCCTTCCCTATCGATTCTCCAGATTTGAATATCTTGGGGGTTGACAGCCCTGCCTCTGCTTATCAAAGGCAGTACTATTTAAATGCAACAGGTAATTCAGAATAAAAATGTTGTTAAAGTATTGAAAAATATCAAATTTATTCCAGAGAACTTTAGACCTGAGGGGAGGGGGAGGGGGGAAGGTGGCAGGGAAACCTAAGATTAGCTACTTTAAAATTTATTTACTTTATATAAGCAAATATGTACTTAATTTTCAGGTCTTAGTCGATCTCCTACCTCTTATGAAAACATAACTTTTGTTTTAAATATCTTTAAAATGCTATAAATCTTCTAAATTTCGAAATATTGCTTTCCCTCTCCTACCCCACTTACTTTCAAAGGGTCTCCCTAGTACTAGTACCCCGATTGCTTACCTTATTAGCAAATTTCTTGTTGAGCTTATTTTCTACCGCCTCTTGTATATCGAGAGAAAAGAGCCATGGTTTGATTCGAACAGTGTCTCTCATTTCGGCTAACACAAACATTGTGAGAGTTGTTCTAGCTGAGGCAAAATAAAATTACGCCATTATCATTTTGAAACGGTTTTGTTTGTTCTGTACAACTCGAAGTCGTAGCCTTAGGTCGTCACGGCCACTGGGCGTGTAGGATCGTGTAGGACGCTGGGTAGGGAGATGTGGGCTGACGATATTTGCATGCAGCGTGCATTGAGCTGCAGCGTGGAAGATCGTTCTTGAACAATAAGAAATTTAGAACTTCAGCTGATCAAGTGTTTTAGAGTTAAGATGTTTACAAGTCAAGAGCATATAGACTATAAATGTGGAGCCGATGGACTTGGAAGATTAGAATATTTACAAGCTTTAGTTACTGAATATCAAGACACTTCCAAAGAAGGTAAGCTCGTATATCTTATACTGTTAAAACGGTTTCTTTCAGTCGCATAGTTAACTTCTGTTTATATAACTTGATATTACTTGGTATTACTTGATTCAGCGAAGACTTACTGAATATATATTGCAATTGATGGGTTGCAAGCATTCCCAAGAGAGTCAAAAGACAAAAACGAAGCAACCGAAGAATCAAATGATGATTATGAAAGTCCTACTGAATCAGTGATAGATTGTGGCAATTCTACTTTCTTGTAAAATCCTGAATTTAGAATCTAAAAATCACAAAAAATTCAGCTTTTACATTTTTTTCTTTCTTACAACGTCAATAATCCTACCCTTTTCATAGATTTTAAGAATAAATTCAAATGATTAGAAAAGGTACCTTTTTATTCAAAAAAGAGGTAGGATATTTAGTGTTTTATCTATTTAATGGATGTGATGAAATATCCTATCTTTTCTCAAGTTTCGCCCTTTAAAGGAAATTCGAAAAGCAGATAAAAAGGCGGCACATCGAATTCACGGAATCAACGGAATCAACGGAATCTCTTTGAAACATATGGAAGTCAAACATCATTAAAATAAAGACAAATCAAGTTAAAAGAAAAAGTTAAGAACTTCGTGCTCGGTCGTCCTCTAAGAAAAAAATTATATAAAACAACTCGATTGGAAACCCTATTATTAATATTATTATGATTTATCTACATAGAATGATTA